CCTTTCTGTTACAAATACCTAGGTTTAAACTGATTGGTCAAGTGCTGCTAACACCACAGGAACAGATTCAAGACAACACAGATAACCATCTAAAAATAACTTTGGTATTAACAGTCATTTTTTGTTCTCTTCTTTCCATACCCAACCTCTGACTTTCCTCTCCTCTTCCAAACAGACTTCTAAATACTATACTGCATGTCACCTCCCACTGTGTCCTTCAGAAAGTGCCCTAAGGAACTGAAGACTCAAAATGTTTAGCAAGTTTGTTATGAAGAGCTTACCACTTCCTTAACTTAAAGGAAATTCCAATCACTGTTTTACTAGTATTTTCCCTATATTTTATAAAGCACCGATTTTTTTTATGTGGAACTGAGTAAGACACAGAACCCAATAAAGCAATTCCCAAGGTGTAACTTTGCCATCCAGATGTTAGTAGTCATTACCACCACACTGCCCATTGAGTTTATTAATGTTACCTCCCCCATCCATGAGCTTCAATACTTTGTTCCCCTGTTTTAACTTCAAGAGAAAGACCAGACAAGACCTAAGTCATTCTTCCTGCCACAGAAAGAGCACTGCACCTACAAGAAACAACGTGATAACCCTTCAGCGCAGTGCTGTACCACACCGCAATAACCTCTGTGGACCCATTAATTAGATTTTATTTTTGATATAAAATGGCAAGTCAGGCACCAGCAGATCCCAATGGATATGACGAAAAAAGACAGCAGCTATGTCTCTGCAAACCAGTAAAAAGCAAACACAGGCTTTCCTGGGTGATGTGTGTGTTTCTGGAAGATGCATATCCCAGAATACAACCTGATTGTGAGTCCTCTCTGCCAAGTGACGCAGAAGCAGAGTGAATTTAAACAGGGCCCTGAGCAGCAACAAGCCTTTGAACAAATGAAATGGGATATTCTGCATGCAGTAGCCATTGGGCCAGACCAGGCAAATTATTTACAGCTCAGTGGGCCCATGACACCTTCAGGTCATCATGGGAGAGACACAGCACATAGATGGGCTCAAGACTGAGGGATGGAATTCACTAGGGACACTGTCACACAGGTTATCCATGAATGTGAGACATGCTGCCCTCAACCAAGCCGAGCAGTTAAAGCCCCAGTGGTATGGAGGACGATGTCTGAGATATAAACATGGAGAGGCCTGGCAGGGTGACTACATCACACTGCCACAGACCTGCCAAGGCAAGTGCCATGTACTCACCATGGTGCAAGCCACCACTGAGTGTCTGGAGACCCATCCAGTGCCCCATGCCACCACCCAGAGCACCATCCTGGGCCTTGAAAAGAAGATCTTGTGGTGACACAGCACCCCACAGAGAATCGAGTAAGGCAACAGGACTCACTTCTGAAACAGCCTTGTAGACACCTGGGCCAAGGAGCATGGCATTGAGTGGGTATCTCACTTCCCCTATCATGCACCAGCCATTGGGAAAATTGAACAGTGCAATGGAGTGTTAAAAGCAATACTGAAAGCAATGTGGGGAGGGACCTTCAAACTTTGGCACACACATTTAATGAAAAGAAACAAAAAGCACTTAATTTTGTACATTTCCACCAGATGCCCAACTTTGAGGAGCCAGTTCTATCCTGTAGTAGCTCAGCTATTCCCACTGACATCAGATTCCCAACATCCCAGGGCAGCTGTTCTACATACAATTCAACACGGAGTATACCAAGGGCACTGAATAAATACTTCACAAAGAACTATCTAGGAACAAGATCCTGTTCTCACTTTGAACTGTAAATAAGCTGCGTAGCCTCGCAGGTTCTGCCTAAAGCAAGTGTCAACACTGCAGTTCAGGCTTTGTATAATGACATCATCTTGAATCTGTAACCACCTGTGCACTCACCAAAATGAAACACCACAGTAACTAGTAGTCACAATGACAGCAGCATGTGCAGAACAAAACAGGAACTTCAAAACACAATAAAATGAGCAAAGCACAACACTTCCCTACTTAATTCACATACAGGTATGGGTGTACTACAAAGCAAATTGTGTAGTAACATTTTTGAACTCAGCTGATGGCTACTTGTGGTTTGAAGCATGCTAAGAATGTGCTGCAGACAGCTCAGCTGGGCTGTACCCTTCAGTTTAGTTTGCATTTTTTGCTTCACTGCCTTACCTCCTCCCAGTATACTACATCCCTACGAACTCCACTCTGTTGAGACCTCAGCTGGAGTACTGCATCCAGCTCTGGAGTCCTCATCACAGACAAGGCACGGACCTGTTGGAGCAGGTTCAGAGGAAGGCCACAAAAATTATTAGAGGGCTGAAACACCTTTCTTATAAATAAAGCCTGAGAGAGTTGGGGTTGTTCAGCCTGAAGAAGAGAAGGCTCTGGGGAGACCTTATTGTGGCCTTTCAATAGAGAGGGGCTATGGGAAAGATGATGACAGACTTTTTAGCAAAGCCTGTTGAAACAGGAAAAAAGGGGAATGGTTTTAAACTAAGAGAGGGCATACTTAATCTAGACAGATGGAAAATATTTTTCACAATGAGCGATGAAACACTCGAACAAGTTGCCCCGTGAGGTAGCAGATGCCCCATGCCTGGAAACATTCAAGGTCAGGTTGGACTGGGGTCTGAGCAACCTGATCTAGTTGAAGATATCCCTGGTCATTGGAGGGGGCTAGGGCTAGGTGAGCTTCGAAAGTCCTTTCCAACTCAAAGCATTCTGTAGTTTCAAGTTCTACAAGCTTTTAGGGGCAGACAACAGTACAACATAGATTCTGAAGCTCCTCTTAGCCCACTCTGTGGCCTTGGACAAAGTTTAAATACCTTTAGTCAATAAATGGCAGTTTCACACTGTATTCAGAAGAGATTTCTGGATCCAAAACTCTATTCAATGATTCTTCCAGACAAAAAGGCAAAAACAAATCACAAAAAAAAAAAACAAAACCACAAAAAAAACCCAACAAAACTAAAGAAAACCCACCAAAACAAAAAAGTAATCAGTGCTATCATACAGATGTCACAATGAAAATTCCTTTCAAGACCAATGAAAAGTTCCATTTTTTATTTCTCCCTGCAAAGTATCGTATGTGTCTGTTTCCTCATGCTGTAGTGAGAAATGCAATGAAATAAATGTTTTTGGAGGTTACACACTTCTCTGAAACTCTTCTACTGTTGGTTTGGCCGAGATGTAAATGGTATATTCCACTTATTTTTTCACAGTAGTTACCTACAGCTTACATTAATTGACAGATTCTACATGTTCTTCCATGCCCACATTACCCTCACAGCCCTGATTAGCAGTCCTACAGTAAAACCCTGCAATTTTCTCCAGACTGAAAACTCCAGTTTTTCTATCTGCTGCTGTGTGTCTGAACAATAGTGAAAATTACTTTTTCATCATAACCTCCAAAAACCAAACTCTTATCTTTAATACAGAGGTTAACATATTTCAATTGTCTAAAGACAATTAAAAAACAAAACCAAAAAAGCAGAATAAGCATCATTTAAGCCTAGAAAAACAAATATCTAATTCCCACAAAACCTTATTACAATACAAAAGTGTGACTGAATACAATGCTAGAAAGACAATAAAGTTAAAATTCAAAAAATTCAAACTAAGAAAAAGTTTTAAAGAAGTAACATGCTCCTAAATCTATATCAGTTTGAGTGCATTATGAAACACACTCATACAAGAAAACAAAGGTCAGCCTGAAAGAGATTGGAGAAAAGACAAAAAAAAGCTAGCAGCAGGCAAGCTGCAATAGATGAAGCTATCACATGGTTTGAAAACTTCTGCAGTTTAAGAAATACAGTTATCTCCAAAAGCACTGTATAACAGGCCTGGTGTATGGCAGCATTTCAGTATGTGTTAAACAGCAAGCACATCCTGGACTGCTCCCCTGGAACTAAACTACAGAGCTCAGCATCATCACTCTTTATGTGCTTATCTTGTAAGCTACACCTTTTTCCAACTCTTGTGCTGCAGAATATGATAACCTTTTGAGACAGAAACAAATTTAAAAAAATAAATTAACAAAATAAAGCTTGTCTTTATGGCACATCTGAAATTTGAAGCAACACTTCTTCCTTCCTTCCCTACATTTTGGTTTTTATTTTACAAATAAGATATGATTGTTTCTGTGTAATGTCTCCTGCATTACCTATTGCTGTTTCTAGATAACCCCATTTACCTTTCTAGGTTACATAGAGGTTACATAGATTTGTATAAGCATACAACATAATTCTGGCTAGAATTCAGTAATGAAGCAGACAAATACTATGGCCATATTTTTAAGAAGCAAGAACACAGATATCACAAGGAAACTGGCAGTCTTCCAATAACCACAAAAGAAGACAGAATAATTTACGAGGTCACAAAAAGTCAGAAATGGTTTTCTACCCTTTTTCTGACTTCCTCATTTTGTACTGTCATACTTAACAGATAACATCAAATACATCAGTCTTTATGGCTGAGTCTACACAACTAAAAAATACTCAAAACCAGAGACGTAATACATATTTTTCTGCGAGTGACACAAAGCACTGGGGAGTTCCAGCCAGCCTGGGGTATATGCGTGTGTATGTCTAAGGGGGAGAGCACAGAGGGGCTCAGGGTGTCCCAGACAGCGGGGGCTGGTGGTGTTGTGGTTGGGGGGTGTCTCTTTGCAAGAGGGGGGACTGTCTGCACCAGCAACTGCAGTGTATCTGTGGCCCCAGAAGCTTGTACATCCAGGTATCAGCAACTGGTCAGACTGGGATCCAGGGGCCACCGCTAATGACCCATTGCTGAAGGGCCTCTGGTGCTGTAGTTCTGTGTCCTTGTGAGTCCTCTGTGTCACATACGTACGTATAAGCACAGGTATATGGTGTGCACGTGCTGCACGTCCATCTACCCACTGGGAATACAGCCACAGTCTTGCCACTTGTTGAGCCCAGAGTCGCAAAAATCCAGCCTGGATTTTTGAGCTGCAGAATCCAGCCCAACTCCTGTAATAAAACCCATTAACACTAAGTTTTACCTGAGAACAATCTGCCTTGGCTATTTCCGTAGTAGCTTCGAGTACATCACGAAGACTATCTCCATTTTCTTGGATCAGTAGATAAGCTAGCAGAAGAAAAACATGGGTGGGCACTTGAGTTGTGCCAAGTAGCAGTGATTTCACTGAAGATAGCCACTTAGTAACTGCAGACTTCTCTTTCATGAGCTCTATGATCTTCCAGGTTGTATACAAAGAGCTGTAAGAGTTGGTTATGGGGAAAAGAAGCTTGGAGGATGCCTGAGAACAAATGAAACAAAATTCTTAGTTAAATAAGTTAGCATGAAAGAACAAAGAAGAAAAGTAATTAATCCTGTTAAGTCATCCAAAACACTTTTTTTTTTTAAGGTTCCAATGCAGATAAGTCTAAAAAATGAACTGCAATACATTTCTTTACAATTCTTGATCTGAATTCTTTCACTTGGGATGAGTTGCTAATTCCCTATGCAGGAGTTCCCTCTTTATCTGGCATACATAATTCCTGTTTCTGTTGGTAACTGCAGTGCTAATTCCTCACTAAAATGGACAGTAAAACTGGAGTACATGAAAAGCTTTTGTTCCTGACAATAACATGTGGATCACAAAATAGTAAGTATCATGTACCTTTTAAGGAAATTACCTTAACTTTTGATAGTACTTAGTAAAATACCACAGTTTAAGTTAATCCAATTTAACCTTTTTTTGTTTAACTGTTTCACTGCTGAGAACAAAATTAAATTGGTCCAGAGACACCAAGAAATAAGGGTTCTTCAGGTATGTGAGCAATACACAGGGTGGTGATCAGTGGTTTCCACTCATTGTGGCAGCCTGTCACAAGTCTCCACCCACAAGGGCTCCAGCCACACTGCCCAAGTTACAGAAGACAAAGGCAGGGACTAGGAAAAGAGAAGATCAGGTTTCAGAGCATCTAAAGAACCTGCAGGTGCACAAGTCCACGGGACCTGATGAGATCCATCCATGGCTCCTGAGGAAACTGTCGGATGAAGTTGCTAAGTAGCTTTCCACCCTATCCTAAAAGTCAGGGCAGTCTGGTAAAGTTCCCACGGACTGGAAACAACCACCATTTTCAACAAGGAAAGAGACCCAGGCAACTACAGGCCAGTCAGTCTCACCCCTGCCCGGCAACATCATGGAGCAGATCCTCTTGGAGGCTCTGCTAAGACACACGGAAAATGAGGAGGTGATTGGTGGCAACCAAGATGGCTTCACCACAGCCAAATCATGTCTGACAAACCTGGTGGCCTTTTATAATGGAGTTACACCATCTGCAGATAAGAGAAGAGCAACTGACATAATTTGCCTGGACTTCTGCAAAGCACTTGACCTGTCCCACACGACATCCTGGTCTCTAAATTGGAGAGACATGGATTTGACAGATGGACCACTCAGTGGATAAGGAATTTGCTGCATGGTTGCACTCAGAGAGTTGCAGTCAACAACCTCATGTCCAAGTGGAGACCAGAGTCACTGGAATAGGCTGCCCACAGAGGTTGTAAATGCCCCAACACTGGATGTGTTCAAGACAAGACTGGATGGAGCTTTGAGCAACCTGATCTAGTGGAAGGTAAACCTGCTCACGGCAGGGGGGTTGGAACTAGATGATCTTTATGGTTCCTTCCAACTCAAACCATTGTATGATTCTAATTCTGGTTCCCTAGGGATTGATACCAGGCCAAATGCTGTCCAACATCTTCATAAATGATCTGGACAATAGGACTGAAAGCATCCTCACTGTGTTTGCTGATAACACTAAACTGGCTGGTGAGGTGATACGTCAGAAGGGAGGTCCATCTTACATAGACGGGCTGGAAGAGGTCACTTCCAACCTGGGCTGTTCCATGATTCTACAAAAACGTATAAAAACTTAATTACATTTGCTCTCAAATATTCCCATTTGAAGCTTGCTCACTGTGGATGTAACATTTGTTTTTCCGCTTTTTACCTATTTTCTCATCCATTTTCAGTGAATGGAAAGTGTAAGTAAGGCAAATTCATTAAAGATTGTATTCCATTAGCACTGATCTGATCCTACAACACAAATGGACTTAATCCATGAAAATTCCACATTTTTTAATCTTTCAGTTGAGAAAGAGGTTGTTGGCACACTTTTTTACAATAATCAGGCAAAATGAGTGTCCATCTCTCCATCTTCACTGATAAACGTGTATTACCAAAGATGGGCCATGCTACTTGCTACGAACTACACAGGGGTGTCTATCAGTGAGACAGGAGTGAGACTGTTACAGAATCTGATGGTAAGGAAAAGGATATAGACAAGTAGAATAAGCAAGTTTGAAATAGATAAATTAAGTATACATAACCTTGTTTTCTGCTAAGTCCTGTTACTTGATTAATAATGCAGCTGAATTCTTTGTACGGCCTTGAAGAGCTAAAAAATCCCATCTCCCAAGTGAAACAATACCTAGCATACAAACACACTTCCACTTTACCAGTAGTCTGGTTTTATGCACTATATATATTTTTAGAGTGTTTCCATACATCATATTGTGGGAAGAAACACACATGTAGTGCCCTTCCCAAGCAGCTAGGTATACTACAGCAAAACAGATAAATACAACCCCTACCTGCCCCAAAAGAAGGAGAAACCTTGTTACTTTACCAATTCCTTTTTATCCCTCACACCTTCCTGCTGTAATATTCCCAAAAGATTTACAGCCAACTGCTGTCTGCTGGGTCCAGAATCATCCTCTGATAGGCAGTCCCCAACTGTGGTAGAAGATAAGATCTGTAGCACGGGCATCACCAACGTAAGGGCTGTGCTTGGGATGTTCTGGGCTTCTGAACAGGAAAGGAGCTTGTAGGCTATTTAAGACAAGTTGGGGAAAAATAAAGATCACATATGAAAAAAAAGAACCAACATAATTTGTACTTTTAGGCATGACAAACTTATCTAGGAATAGGCTTGACTCTGGTGAAGCAAATTAACAGTTGCCAGAATTACGGTGGGTGCACACTAAAGTGCAAAAGATTTTTTGGTAAAACTCCAATCCTACTTAGAAACCTGTATATTTCTGGTTTTTATAGTGATGTACCTGATGGCAGGAAAAAATAATGTAAAGGAGCACAGCCCTTTGCTTTTCCTGGAATAACTCCGCTAATCAAAACTGCTAAGCTGAAACCTCAGCCAAACACTGCCATGATTGTCAGGCCTGTTCACTTAAAAATCTGTCAATAAACTATTCGGGATGCATGGATCTCAGTCGACAGTATCCTGTTGTTGGCTCAAAAATGTAACAGACAAGCTCCAATATAGCAGGGAGCTTAGAATACAGTAACAACCATGGAAGAAGTCAGTGTAGCAGGAAAGTTTATCTTTATTGCCATTAAATAAAGTGTCACTCTTGAAATTCAGGAAGAAGTCTGGTTATTAAAAAAAAAAAAATCCACACCCAATCCAACTTCAGGGGAATGCAGTTCTTATTTTCATAAATATTAAGAAACAAGTATACAGCTTTAAGAGCATGGATTCCTTTTTCAAAGAAGAGCTTTACCTAGACTCAAGATAGGCTTTTGCTGACTTTCTGGTGTTTGCAGCAGCAGAAGCGCTAGCCCAATTATATACTGTTCCACTGGAAATAACTACAAGGAAAAGAGAAAGAGATTTGAGTCATCTTTGGTTTTCAGTGGCATTAAACAGCACAAAGGAGCAATGACCAAAAATCCGTACAGTGAGTGCACACACAGTGACACAGCACATGAAATGAAAAATATGAATAAAAATAGTATTTCAAATTAACTAAAACATTTCCATTTGTTACTTTGTTCAAACCATTTTACTTCAGTTTTAACCAACTCCCATATTAAAAGGTTAACTGGTAAATACAGAGCCAGTTAACTTTTTGCCTTCTGAAGGTCTTCTACAAAGGAAAAAAAAATTAGTTTTTGAAAAAACATTGGTCACTTGCAGATGAATGCCACATGTCAATGTTTCTAAATACTGTCTTAAACATGACATTCTTGCAATTTAATAGAACAATTATTTTTTTTTTCTCATGAACTCTTACCTCTTTTAAGAATTCAAAGTTGTTCTCTATTAAGGACAACACAGATGAGCATTCTCCCATCACACTTAAACACACTTCACAGAAGCATAATAGTTGCAGACAGAACTGGGACAACTGGACTCTCCAGAACACAGGATAGCGCAGTAGGCTGAGGAACAGCTCTTGCAGAAAAAACAAGGCTTCTGTAACTTGCAGTAAGTCTTTAAGCTGTGAAGAGGTATTTAAAAACAAAACAAAACCAAAACACATTTAGTTCCTCTTCCCTATATACACAGAATTCCCTAAGTTTAGAATTAGTTCTATTAGCTACTCTATTAGCTCTGTAAAGTTTCAACATTACTAGGACTTTGAACATTTATAAACTAAACCTAGGAATCTCTTACTCAGCCTCCCTAAAGAAACTATAGATGAACTGCTGTTTCATGTTTTGAAATAAAATAGAAACACGAAAGAATATAAAGATTTCTAGTATCTGATAAGAAAAATCGCTTTTCCTCAAAAGCAATACCAAATTACTTCAGCTCTATGGGTTCTCTCAAAAACATAAAACAATTGCACGGGGATTTAATATAGCAGGTAAACATTCTTGTATTGGAAACACCCTGCTTTAGGATATTTCCTCTGTAATGTAACCAAGGTTCCAGCAAACATCTCAGAAGAGAGAGGCAGTGGTGTTATCTGCTTAAAAAGCACCATGCAATCTACCTACTACAAAACCAAAAAGCTGAAGTGCAATGCCCAAAAGCAGTATCTCCATACCTGGAAGTCAGGTAAAGACGTTTCAAGAAGCAGGTTACCTGAAAATCCTAATGTGTTAGGTAAGAGCATTTCTGCTCTTGAAAATTCTAGTTCGAGACAAACCCAGAGGTTCTGATCCAAACTCTGGAGCCAGCATTAGTGGCAACATCTTGATTTTTTAGTGGCTTGGAACAAATTCTGTGAATAATATGCTCTCATCAGAAGCTTCATGTCCACTGAATTTTTCAGAAAAAAAAAAGTCTGAAGGTAAGAGCTGTACTTTTGACAGCTTGACTGATATTATCAGATAAAATTACTAGGAGGCATTTCAGCATTTATACAATACAGAGGATTAAATAAGGCTTAGCTTAAAGGAAGGAACCTGAGGTTCAGAGAAAGAAGGTTATAAAACAGTCCATCCAATAAGCTTCTCAAAAGAAGTATTTCCCTTTCCATTTTGAAAGTTTTATCTCAGGCAAAACAAAACCAAACAAGTATCAATCTCAGTTGAAGAAAGTGCAAGATTTCTAGTAAAAAAAACACCAACAAGCGTGGAGCAAAGAGGTTCATAACTAATTTTTTAAATCTTCATCAGTGCCATTCTTATGGCTAAATGTCACCAAGTCAGAAGCTTGGTCATACATTCAGGACACCATGTTATACTGAAGTTCAGGCAGAAGCAAAACAAAATCAGGCATGTGACTAGAAAAAAACCTGTCATCATAAAGAGTAGACCTGCACCAAGATAAATTTGTATAATACAAGTTATTATTTGTCAAAAAGACTGTGAAAGGCAGCTACCAGCAGAAAGCAGACTTCATGAATAAAACTCCTCAGGAGCAAGATGCTACCAAATATCCTCACATCAAGTCTATTCAGCTTTAGATCATCAGACCCTCTCACTACGGCAATAATTCCATAGCACCTCATGTTTGACTGAATATATTTGACTGAAACTGAAGATGTTGCTCTAATATTAAAAAAAAAGGAACAAGTGCATAAGTATGAAAAAGCTTAGCCAATGTCACAGCACAGCATGAAGCAAAGCAGAGCTATTATGCTTAACATCCTAAATACCTAACCAAAGGGGACACACTAAATCCCTAGTTCATAGCAAGTATCGCTATGCAACTTAGAATACATTCAAAAAGTTCAGCATATTACAGAGGGAATAAGTTTCGTCTTCAGATTCACTAATCCCTCTGTTAAAAGGAGAGAGAAGGAACACCTAGGAGTCCTTCTACCATACTTCTCAGGTAGTTTGTTCCATCTTAGTATACCCATGTTAAGTTAAAAATAGAATGTTTTTGACAAATATCCAACTTCGTACCAGTATTTTCTCTCTTACCGGTATCTCCACAAGTTCACTGAGGCAACTAGAGGCAGACAATTATGCTGAGCACGTTTCAAGTTACACCTTGCCAGGAGTATCTGATTTGAAAAGTTTTACCTTCTCTCAGAAAGAACCAGTTTGTTAGATTTCTGTACTACCTGCAAATCAGGTCTAGAGGAAGTGGATGACAACGCTGTATTTGCACACTTGAAAGGCAGTAATAAGAACAAGAGTACTGTCATTGCTTTCATGGTATTTATTTGTAAAAGGTGGAGTCTGCCAACAACTGTACCTGAAGGTGTGGAATCAGATCATAGAGAAGCTGAAGAATCTGGCATTCCAGCACAGAGGGTGCTTCTTTGTGCTTTGGACCACGAGACTGCAGTAAGACCTTAAGCAAACCCACTCGCAGTTCCGCGTGCTCCCGTGACTGGGAGGGCTCGCAGTACAGGTAGCGGAGGAACGGAGCCATCATGCCAACGCACGAACTCTGTGACCTGCAGTTCAAGAAATAAGATTGCCATGACTGCTTTCTACTGAAAACTTAACAAATGACAAACAAAACCCAAGTAATGTGACATTCCTGCGGTAATTTACAGGACGTAATTAAAAGAAAGGTGTTACAAAAGGCATTACTAAACCTCCCAAAAACCCTTTGACTTATTAGCACAATGTACTGTCATGAGACCTCATATAGCAACCGTATAATGAAGTGCAAAAGATGTAATATTTAAACATGACTACTACTACCCAGTATGTACCTGCAGATCATGATACTCTTTTATCCTTTTTTTTTCCCTCATCAATTCAAGAAAGTGACTTTCCATTCTGAATGCCATTAGACTAGTGTGCCATTCTGAACTAGTTATTGGACAAGACAATCCAAAAACATTTTTAAAACCTTCAGTTAAAAGAATTCCTTGCCATTTTTTCCCCAAAGGTCTTTTAATCATGCATGAAACAGGAACTGCTTTACATCAAGCCAGATTCCCAATTAAAAAAAAATTACCACAGAACAATTCTGTTAGCGTGACCACATTAGGAATTACAATTGTTCTTGACATTATTAAAACAATCAAAACTTATGATCAATACATTAACAAGTACATAGAGAATCAAAATTAGGTCAGTTTCATACAGGACTTAGTTCTGATGCAGAGCTTTACAAAGAACTCAGTAACAGATCAACATCAAGATACATGGCACTTGCTGACGTCACACTTTGGGATGTGGTTTAGTGGCGGACTCGGTTGTGTTAGATTAAAGGATGGACTTGATGTTTACTCCATGAAAACATTTGCACAAAAAGCAGCAAAGGAAGTTTAAGATATTTTCCTTTTCAGCAACCTAAAACTGTTGTTTTAATTGAAAACATGCAACCAGCAAAAGCTCCACAGTTCGTTACATCATTCCGGCCATCTTACAGGACTCTTCACGAGTCCCAGATGGAAGAACTTTGCTTGAAAGTCTTATTGTTGATCATGTAGTCTAGGCCTACTAGCAATTTAAGTGATTAACAATTTGTTTACTCTGAGAAAAGCACTGAAGTCAATTTCACCGTACTGTTACTCTGCTCCATTTGTAGGATTCTTCTAGAAAGAAAAAGGGAGATACTTTTTATCTGAAAAAGCATATATATAGGTGTAAAATCACTGAAACCATTTGGCTTTAAGGCTGCTGTAGCATTTGGTATCTTACACAGAAGCTATTGGAAAAGTTCCTTGGAGGTAAGCATGAAGAAATGTTGAAATTCCTGGTAGCTTGGATATTTGTTAATTGCTAAAGATAGTCTATAATAAGGCTGCACCACAGATTTTTTTTAAATCAAGACGCATCCATCATTTTTTAAAGACCTTATCCTTTACTGTGACATATAATCATCTGTGCTTTCCCTTTATTATCCCACCACTTTGTATAGATGTGTTATACCTACATACAAGTCAACTTTTTTGACTAGGCAGTCAAAAATCGTGACAAAACAAATAATTTATTTTTAAAAAATTCCAAAGATGCTATCAATTTTTCTACACCCATAAAAATTGTATCAACATTAACAAACTAAGAAAACACTTACTAGAATCAATTTTCATGGATTATTTTATTATTTTATGAGAATTCTATTTTTAACCTTTAAATGGTGTCATTAAATTTTATAACTGTATTTTTCAAAAGGCAGAATTCTTACTGTTCATTGTGACTGCCATCAGGTGATAAAATTAAATTATCTACATTTGCTGTTTTTCAATCATTCATGCATTTACCTTTCTGGACACTGATGGAAAAACACTGTTATCTGCTGCAGCAGAAGAGGCCAGCAGTCAGGTCTGTTTTCAAGGACAGTGATTAATGGATGAGGAGTGTTCCTGAAACAAAGAAATCACATTTGAATCTAGAATCCAGAAAGCCAGTGTGCAAAATAACTATCTTAAAAATAAAGGCAGCTGTAGAAATACGGTATTAATGCCCTGGTCTAACCAACTGCCTTTACCATCTTTGCCAAGACTGCTACACTGTCAAAAGAGTGCATTTTATAGAAACTTCAGGAAACAAGATTAAAACAAAATCTCTACTCCAAATGTCTTGATCTGATTTTTTTTTTTTTTTAATTAAATAAATGTCCATGGACCATTATTCAAATGTGTGGCCTGATTTGAAGTCACGAGTAGCAGCCCCTAGGCTCTAGCAGTGGGCTCCAAGTAATGCCCACAGACAAATTTGAACCATACATCACACATCAGTCCAGTCTTTCAAGCATAGGTACAAATCTTCAGTATCTGAGACCAATAGAGGCGACCACTTACTACTTTAAACCTTCTCCCAACTTACTTATTTCTTGGGTTCTTTGGTTGGTTTGGTTTTAGGCAGTAAAAGAAGCAGGAAGAGAAAGCGTGGCCATCCCACCAACCTAGAGACAGGACCTTTACTGCCAGCCCTCTGGCAACCATTCTGTTGAAAAGATCACCGAGGCCTAGCTCTCACCTGCTCCTCCCACATGAACGTATCACCAACACCTTCCACACCTCCAAAGTCAATGACTGTGAGGCCCTCCACACCAACTTGAAGTGGTGATACTCATATCAAGCTATGACTACCCTTGTAGAGTAGAAGGTGGAGGAAAAGCTGGGCTGGAGGGGAGCCTGAAGCACGTAATCTGTTCTGCCAGAAGCAAAACCAAAGTCATTTGACTAGAATAAGTTAGCACAAGGAAGGAAGATGAGTCTTAATATCAAATTCACTGAGGAGGTGAGAAATTGGAAAGAACTAGTGAGGTTGCAACTTTCTAATCTTTTGTCTCCAGTCTTGAGACCCTGGAAATCAGGATTTGAGCAGTATAGCCTAATGAGATTACTGTGAAAGCTCAAATTATTCACAAGAAGGATGTGGATGTGCTGGGCTGGAGCACCTCTCCTATGAAGACAGGCTTAGAGAGTTGGGGTAATTGAGCCTGGAGAACAGAAGCCTCTGGGTAGACCTTATAGCGACCTTCCAGCACCTGAAAGGAGCCTGTAAGAATGCAGGGGAAGATCCGGCCCCAAGGGTGTCTAGTGATGGGACAAGGGGTAACAGTTTTAAGGCAGAAAAGGGTAGATTTAGGTTAGACATATGGAAAAAGTTCTTTAATATGAGGGTGGTTGTTCACTGGAACAGGTTGCCCAGAGAGGTGGTGGAGGCCTCATCTCTGGAAATATTCAAGGTCAGGCTTGATGGGACCCTGGGCAACCTGACTTAGAGATGTCCCTGCTTATTGTAGGTGGGTTGGACTAGATGGCCTTTAGAGGTCCCTTCCAACCCGATACATTCTATGATTCTACGTGAAGGGATGTTCCTCACTACCTCCAACACTTTCTTCTGTAGTTTATCCACTGTCTTTGCTCTGACTGGCCCACTTATTCCCATCTGCCTGATAAATGTCCTTATTTCCCCCAGCTTCCTTTCCTGCTTCAGCCAACTACAAGCAGAGTAGTGTAGATTCTTCTCTGGGAAGAATACCAACAGCTTAATAACAGACTAACAGATATTTCCCTGCTCTCAGATCAGAAACAACTCTCCTAATTGCAAGAGAGAGAAGTTGGAAGATATAAGCCTTGCCATTTCCCACACTTCTGCCAGACACATGAGAGAGGATGGCTATACAAACAAACGGAAAGGCAACCAATGCATGCACACCACACGAGGCTGGCAGCCAGAGGGCGAGGCAGCGTCACTCTAGACACTGTTCACATGTCCAACAAATCTGTGCTACACACCAGAAAGACTTTCAGCCAATTTTACCTGTACAGCACTAGACAATCTGAGACCCACAAACTGAAGTGTTACATCTCAAGATAGACTGCCTCAGTTTCAGACGCTTACCACAGTTTTTTAAATAAAATAAAAAATCAGAGAAAGAATTAAAAAAGAGAGGACAGCACACACACCCAACACCTCTACTATAATCTTAAGGCCAAAAAATTACTCTACCATTGCCTAATGGGTATAGGAAGGGAAAAAAAAGGCAAGGGAAGCAGGAAGAGTAGATCTGAGTCTCAGCACTGAAGTCTTTTGCAGCTGATGACTGGCCTAATCCAAGAGTTGCAGGTGCTATCTTACTTCAGTGTCAGGTTCAGCATAAAGAAAATTTACCTCAGCTCTCTGCACAACGTGCTCCAGTGATCAGTGAAACATTTTTGCTTTTATCTACTCAAACTCCTGGTTTTAAATTTAAGCTCACCAACCATTGTTCTTCCACCAAGAACTAGCCTCTGTACTGCTGGTAACCTTTCGTCTTCTACATCTACCAAAAGGCTTGGAAGTCTAGGGAGAATCCTGCTGACTGGAAGCTAGCCAATGTTATTGCAATCTACAAAGAGGGCAAGAGGGAAGACCCAGGGCACTACAGACCTGCTAGTCTAACTTCAGTTCCTCTAAAAATTATGGAGAAGATTATACTGCATACTACTGAAAGGTATTTAAAGATTAATGCAATCACTTTTGTCATATTTTGAGAATTAATTACCTTTCCTAATGAGACAGATATGTCTCCAGTAATCTAACTGCTGCTATGGCACTGAAGTCAGTGGAACCTTCATAAAGTCAGCACATGGGACACATCAAGTCTAAAATGAAAATGGGTTACTGCCCAGAAAAACAGCAAGCCTTTTATCACAGATTTTGTGTGTTCTGAAACTAATATTACTACACCGTACCGCATGATGAAAGAAATCAGCTAAGCTCCACAGTCAACAATGATTGGTAATAGAACACCTAAATGTGCAGACTGGAAAAGTTCCATTTGATAATGCTATTAGCAGTAGGAAAAACAAGGTGTGTAGATGTAACTTATCTTCAACACTAACTTAAAAAAAAGATCACTAGCACAGCACTGTAAAACACATCTCTAAATGGCACTACAGTCCCATTACTCTAAATCATTGCTGGTGGGTTCAGGATACAGGAAAATGCACAACTGGATACAGCAGCTATCCACCTGTAAATACATGTCTATGGAAACAATGATAAATCTTATGTGAGAGACAACAACAAAACAAAAATCTTTAACTCTCAGGTCACCTCAACCTTTTTTGTTACATCTCTGAACACAGGAGAGCTCAAATCTTGTTTAGAGCCCAAATTCAGTGACAGATTGCTTTTTCTGTATGAGGAAACAATATCTGCAATCAACATACTTTGCATATGCCAGATCTGTGACCCTGGCCCTTTCAGAAAAATAGAATAGACCTTTACTCCACCAAATATGCATTTTTAAAACATTTTTCTACCTGCTTTCAATTTTTGTTTCAAAGTTGACAGCCCTCCAGAATTTTAAGACAATAAAAACCATGCATGTTGAATCATTTAAGTACTTATATAGCTTATGGAAACAATTTGGAATCCCAAAATTCAGTGATACATGATGCAGCTTTGTATCAACTTACTAGGTTGAAAAGAACACTTCCTACTTCCTGTAAGAACAAGGGTAATCCCCTCTCTATTTGCCAAGGTTAATTTGCTTATAGAAAGTGGATAATACCAGCATTAATACCACAGAGGCTTCCCCAGATGAAATGAGAAAACCTGTGTGGTGGGTTGACTTTGGCTGATCACCAGGTGTTCACCGAGCTGCTCTCCCCCTCCCCCTCCTCAGCCAGTGAATGGGATCAAAAAACATTTTGGGTGAAAAGAAAAATTTAATAAAGGAAAGCAGAGGCTGTAAGTGAAAGCGAAGGAAAGCAAGAAGATTTATTTCTTACTTCCCATCAGCAGGTGATGTCCACCTACTTCCTGGGAAGTAGGGCCTCAGTACCTGTATCAGTTGTTTCAGAAGACAAACACCTTAGTAACAAATGTCCCCTTTCAGCTCCTTTCTCTTAGCTTTTATTGCTGGACATGATCTCATAAGGTATGAAACATCCCTTTGGTCAGTTTCGGTCAGCTGTCCTGGCTACCTCCCCTCACAAAGTCTTGCTCGCTCCCACCTCACTGAAGGGTGGGAGCTGGCTGGAGAGACAGCACTACTCATTGGTAGCCAAAACACTGCTGTGTTATCCACATCATTCCAGATGCAAATTCAAAGCACAGCACAATGATGGCTGCTATAAGAAAGCTAGCTCCATTCAGATAACCCAATATAATGTAACCAGGCAAAAGCCCCCAAAACTGCAAGACATTATTTTCTCCCATTTCTTTTCAGGAACTGTTCATGATATTACATCATCATCATCACCATCAGAAGCAGTATTACAGAAGTAATTCTGTTGTCCAAAATTAACACTGCTCTAAACCAAATTTATTACTCTGTAACTCTCATTTTGAAATGTCCCAAGAGAAATGACAACAGCAAACTACTTGAAAACATACTGGTGCCTTTTGATTCTTCATTAACTGTTTCCATATGCAAGTCTTTTGCAGAGTTGACAGCGTAATATATGAACACTCTAAAGCAGTGTTTTGTGAGTTTTGCTATATGTTCTTTTATTTCTTTCAGAAATCAAGGTTTAATGGCACTTCATAGAACACAACTACAAAAATTGTTATGTAACAAGCCACTGAAAAAAGACAGGTCTTTCTGTAAACTAGAAACCAAATCAGATCTTAAGATCACAGAGCCTTGACCCACAATATATTCAAAAATAAGTCAATCAATCTGACAGGTCTCTTCATTAAAGTTCACTGGAAGCAAAAGGAAAAGCAAAACACATCCTGGCCAAGTTTAACTCTGTTGCTTATTTTCAGTCCTCTATTACTTTCCTTTAAAATAATCTGAATCATTAAATTTCACCTTCCTTCTACATTACCAGCAATTTTTCATTTGGTAGGAGGGGACAAAAGAAAAAAGTAATAAACTTTCTTCAACCTACTGGGCAGAGGCTACTTCTTTATTCCAGCAACATCCTACTACCTGACAAAAAGCTTGGATTAAGTTGCTTTAATTTAGCCTCTTCTACCAGACTCTAAATTTTCTTTACTTCTAAAGAGAAGGTTTTCAAAATACTTCCAACTTATTGCCCTTCATTACCTGCCTTTTCAATTAAACCTCTTCTATAAGGGTGTGGACTTCGTAGAAAGAACTGATATGGCTAAGGAAAAAAAAAAAGGCACACCGTATTTCAGGAATGCAAGCTCACCCAGCACTCCAAAGTCCATTTCATTTTACTTCAATATTTTGTCTTGCTTAGCTGAAGACATGATTCCTGTCTTCCAAATAGTGCCTTTTATATCCTTAAAGCATTATAGCTGCAGCCTGCTACAATGATATCTCTTAACTGCATCAAAAGCAACTTGAAAAATGTTTATGACATTTACCAAGCTGGGACCTCCTCCAGAAAAGATACAACAGCAGCTGTCAGTGTCAGCACTGACTCAACATCTCTCAACAGCTGAAGTCACTAAGATGTCCCCCCTTAGGAAGGCTGCTATTGCATGACAAGCAGCTTTACTGAGTAGCTCTCAATGCATCTTAAAATAATTTGTTTTTATATGGCACCATTAACAGTAAAAGAATTTAGGAACCTTGTTTTGATAGCAGGAAAATCAAGTGAGAGGGAAGCATTCCACAGTCTTAATATAAAAGACTTATTAAAAGGACTGTTAGAAATCATCCAGCTATTGTATTTGAAGAAGCTGCAGTATTTATTTGCTCCTTCTCACACACAGCCTTCACGTAGACATTTCCTCTTTTGAGCTTATGGTGGCAATCTTACCCCTATGCTATAACACTCCTTAAAATTTTCAAGGAAAAAAAAAAATCAGAGAATCAGAATCATTTAGGCTGGAAGGGGCCACATCACATTGTTTTGTCCAGCCCATGTGCTCAAGCAGAGCTAGCTAGTGAAGGATGCTCAGGGTAACACATCAGGTTTTGGTATATCCAAGGACAGGGATTTCACAACCTCTGTGGGCAACCTGTGCCAGTGCTCCATTACCTGCACAGTAAATAAAGAAGGGGGAAAAAAAAAAAAAAAAGGACAGACTGAAAGCTAGTATCAATACTTAGCCCATGTTTTTTTTCTGAAAATAAGACAAAGTTATTATGCTATCTAAATAAAACCAGTGTTAAACTAACCTGATTCCATACAGATTCGAAACAGCCTCATTTCCACCTCTTCCCAGTTCAACAGCTTGCATTTGTAATAATTTCCAAATCGTTTTTACTAAGCCATGAACATTCCTGTTGACAAAAAGAAATACATTACTGACACGTATGGTTACGCTACTTAATTATTCTACAAGAGGAGGAACCCAGGAACAAAACTGACACTCAAGAAACCATGAGTTCTCCTTAAGGACCTCCTCACATCTGCCTACACAATTCTGGGCAACTTGCGCATCCACATGTATTTGTTTTCCTTTTCACATAATCAACAAAGCAGCAGAGAGATTAATTAATGCATCAATTAAAACTTTTCATCATTTTTTGACCATTGATGCTGCTATTTATCTCCCTCTTCCTATGTTGTTTAGTTTACCATTCAGAAAAATTCAAGAAACAACAGCATTTCTGGAATTTCAATAGGATTTCCCATACTCTCCTGCAGAGACACTAATGAAATTAACAAAGTCCATCACAAGGGGGTGAAAAGCTCTGTGATCATGGAGTAAAGAGCTCAACATGTCTAGACCTTATTACTGCTTGTCCGAGCTTATGAGGACAACTTTCAACATTTTGCTCTCCTTTTCATAATTAAGCGCTTTCCACACCTTCCCAACGAGACCATGCCAGATCAAACCCAACCCGTTCTCAAGAAAATATTCTGGATTCTGTTATGAAAGACTCTTTCACAAGGTGAAAATGTAGAAGAAGAGGCAAAAAAAGTCATGGCTGATTCTGTGACATCTCGAACATCCTACAATTCCATCACCACCTCCTAAAAAATCTATTAGATAGTCTATATAATAATCACATTAATAAACCATAATGAATCCTCACTTTATTCACATAATGAACAGGAAAAGCTAACACAACATACAATTATAGAAGACTGTCCCCTGACAAAAAGTTACTTCTATCACACAGGGCAAGGTAAGAAAGAAAAAAAAAAAGAGTTGGATGCTGGGATTTTTTTTTGTTTGTTTGTTTTATTTTCACTGTTTACTCTTCTTTTCTGCCTAGCAGGAAAAAAACTAAGAAATCTATTTTATCTGTACTTCCACTTGTCCAATAGGGAATGGAAAAGCACAGGAACTCCTAAAATGGCGAGCTGGAAAAAAGAAATTATGCAGAATTTATGTGACCCTCTAATAGGACAGACAAAAATAATCCTCATCTAACACATGAGCAAACTCTGTTTGGCACAGAGTGTAGTGTGCTTGACAAACAACTCTCTAAACTACAAAAGGATACACATACATTTAGTCTTTTAATCTGTACCAAAAAGTCTGAAAAAAAATTTAAGTAATTTCTGTCAAAGAACAGGCAGAGTTTACATGAACACTGTTAAAAGACAGGAGTTTCCGCACACAGGCTGGACCAACATCAGCACAACGTGTAGTAACAACATATAATCACAAGAAATATGATTAACTGGTATTTGTGAACACTTTACTGAAGATTCAAAAATTGCAAAGGATGATGCAATCATGGAATCATAACCTGAAGAATCCTCACATCATTCATAAAAACGCCAATGGTAACACAGGAGCCAGCACCACTTTTAACTGCCAGACCTATTCTGTACTTATCACCACGTGCAAACAGACACTTTTCCAAAAGCCAGTGTGGCACACCAAGGAATGTCTACAGATTGCCCCAGTGGATCTCCTCACCAATAAACGCCTCGTTTCATGTTCCAGATACAAGCAAAGTAGTATATTCTGTTTTCTGTGCCTTTCATGTATTTGCCAGCAGTCCTGGAAAACAGTGACCCAAATCAAAAATTACAAAATATGCTTCTGTTTTCTTCTTCCTTCCAAAAACTGACCAGTTTAAAGATATGCCTATAATCTTTAAACCGACTGGCTGTCAAGACACTTGGCTCTCAAAACACTGAAATCTGAATAAGCAAGCAGATGAGAGGTTTGACAGAACTCTTCTGCAAAGCAATCAACAGGAAGGCATGTAGCAGGCTTCCAAATTCCTATATAATCCATGTAACAGAGAAGGAAGGAGAACTTTTTGGATGGATGCAGCGGGGAGAGACAGGGAGAGTGACCAGCTTTTAGATACTTCATGACTACAAAGTGTCAGTTCAATGGAAATTTGCCAGCACATTACCCAGCTTCCATTGGGTAACCATGCAGTGAGGGGGGAAAAAACAAATCATATATCTGTAATCAAACAGGATTCCTTGTTCTGAAACTCCTGTATTGCTAGTCCTAATTCCCAGGCAGGAGGTGGAGGGATAATGGCTGCTTTAGGGCCCTGCACTCAGCTACTGAACTCAGGCAGCTCAATGGCATGACATCCTGCAAGGATTTCCCCACCTACTACAGGCACAGATGCTCAGGTGATAAAAGCATTCAGAAAACATACATATACACAGAAATCCTCCTAACTTTTTCTTAAATATTACAATAATCCACAGTTTCACATGTGTTTAATACATTAACTCGATTATTTATGCTCATTCTTTATTCAGTACAGGCCACAGTTTTCCTATCATCATCTACACAGAAAGTTGGGGACCAATGTTAAAAAGGTATGAAAATGTACAGGTATATATTTACACACATATACATATTTTTTTTGTACACATGCATGCACAAACAAACAAAAATATGATATTCCATGAAGTTTAAGTTCTTGGATCATCAGAGGAAACTGAGACAGTTACGGTAAAATGATGCACCAGTGTTAAGAATAGATTCCCATTTGTATAATGACCACATAATTTGAACCACATAAGTCAACTGAGATAAGCACTGAATGTTCACCTCTGGCAAAGCAAAATGCTGTTCCCAGTGTGCAGAACTTGGTGCACCTGACAAAATAAAATTCACCAGGTGCACTAAGTCCCTGCTAAACTAATTGTAACAGGAGGAAGAGAAGCAAGAAGAAAACATAAATGGATTCTGCCAATATAACATTTGCCTAACTCCATTCAGTACCCAAAGGTGCTCAGCAGCTGTAAGTGCCTTTCTGCTAGCTGCAACCACCTGATAATTTATGTTTATTTTGGAGACACTGTGCACACGGCACTGCAAAGCCACAGAGCAAACCTGGATGAAAACTGGCAGGAACAGGATGACAAACAGTGGGCTACAATTCCAAAAGAGTAAAGAAAAAAAAAAGTATCAGCACTGAAATAAATGGAGCCGAAATAGTCAGTTTAATCAGCTCTTAAGGCTACAGACATTTTAAACCCACAGACTTCTGTGGCTAGGCTACATAAACCCTGCTTTGCAATCCACAGTGGATATGGTTTGAATTGTGGCATCTTGGCAGGTTGGGGGCGGGGGGGGGAGGGGAGGAAGGCAGAGGAAAGAAACCAAACATATATAAAAGATTCCTGGGTAATTTTACAGCCGTTACAATGCCAATCAGCCAAGTATGTTGGTTTCACACATGGAAAAATCTAAAATGGTATAGAAATAGAGCACACCCAAGCCCTTTGAATACATAGGTCTGACTTTAGGGTGAACTCAATACTAAACACCCATTTTACACCTCATTTTCTTAAGTACAAAACGTTATTAACACTTCATTTCCGTATAAACCACTGACACTATAGTCAACCCTTAGCTGAACAGCAATTTCACATTGCTTAGTTTGCAAGTTATAGCTAATGAAACCGTCCCTCCACCTTACCCCATAGGTCTGAGGTTCTCATAGTCTAAACACAGGTGCTTTACTTTTGTGTTAACAGTGCAGATTCTTCCCCTAACCTCAGACTGAACTAGTAAAATTTTGTCATTTGGAGGACAACGGTTTGCAGAAATTATTCATATTACAAAAATACATTTACAAAACCTTTCCTAGGGATCAATAATGATCTACTGTAAACTCAGCATAGAATCAGCACCATCACAGCAAGATCCTAGCTGTAAACAAGCAAGCCAAAAGGAGAGAAACAGTCTGTTTTGAAACACCTGATTCACTAGTTTACTCAAACCTAAACTCCCCTTTGGCTCAAACCCATCATGAGAAACCTCAGCCTAAAACTGACTATATGAAGGCCAGACAAGGTGAAAAGCCTGTCTTGAACAGAGTGGTATTGAAATCTCTATGCTGAGCCCACCAGCACAGTATACTGCAGGTGTGGCACCACTTAGCTGGCTTGGCTGAAACCAACTCTAGCATTCTCCGGAGAGAATGACAAGGCTTAGTGCAGAAATGCAGTTAGCTGCCAAAAATCAGAAGAAAGATAACACATGAGACTTTATAAGGTTGGTGGATTTGAATGGGAACATCCTCCTAATCATAATTTTGTTTCCTACTTATACATTTTCTGCACAACGTCTTTTCCCCCTACAACTGTGTTCTCTCAGTGCATTGCACAGACAGGTTAGCTCAAAATACCATTGTGAGATGCAGGCACCACACTGCAGAATTCTGTAAGAGGAAGCAGGTGCCACATTAGGCAAAATGAGTTCTTCCTCAGCAACAAGGAAACAAAACCCAGCATTCCTAATCCTCAACCACAGTCTTACTGTGATTCTATCTGTGCAACTAGCTATTTGGACAGAGTGATTAGGTGGTTATCTCCCTCCCTCACAGTGGAAGTTGCTGCCATTCTCTTTGCCCTTCCCCATGACAGAGGAAACAAAACTAGGCGGTGTGTTGATTTGTGAGGTTCCACGGTTCAAAGTTCAGAGCCTTATTCTGAACTGCTCACAATTTCAGCTTACATGCATAGGATACTCTGTGGGTTCTTAAGTCAGACTTCCATTGCCACATTGCCAAGATGAAAGCAACAGCCTTCAGCAGAGCGGCAGGGCAATGCCAGAGCTTATTCGAAGACACGGTCACTTACAGACCCTCTCCTCTTCCCCTGTATGCACCAGGGAAAAAGCAACAACTAATAACTGGCTGGCAAAAGACACAAGGTCAGACAACCCAATTCCTACCTTGCTGAGGGAATCCGGTTGAGTGCTCCATGAAGAATGTAGTCAAGCTCAGCATGTTTCTCTGCAACAAGTGCCACCAATCCCTCAGAGCAGGCTGTCCACAACGCAACACTCTCACTGCAGCACTCATCCCAAAGCAAGTTCAGAGCGGGAGTCTGCAGTCAAAAGCATAAGACACAAGCAATGAGAAGGCTGATGCTGATTTAACTCATCTCAGGCACACATAAATATAAACCTACTCAACAGCTTTTCCTGAAAGTCTTAGAGAGCACAAGAGAGGAAACTGGGGTACAGATGCTATACCTAAGAAAGGCCTTTCCCAGGACAGCTCCCACTTTTCTAACCCTTACTGCCTATGCCCTCAGTATGGACAGAAGCTTGTGAGAAAAGGGTAAGGTAAATGAATTTTTCAGCTGTGCCTATCTTCAATTCCACTTTCCTCAAAAAGATTGAGATGTAATTGGTGACAACTCATGGACTGCTATGTCAAGCTATGTCTACAGTAAAGTGTAGTGCAGACACCTAGAGGCAGGCATACAAAGGGCTATCCAGAGGTAAGTTGCCTTTATTCACCATATGAAGTCCTCTGCTCTCTCCATCTGCTAGCAAGCACAAAGATTTGGCAGCACCCATCAAGACTGCTGCTTGTTTTCATGCTAAATTTGCATTCACAGTTTAGTTTGCTGACTTTGTAGCTTTCAAATGGAGAAACAAGTAATGTTTTTAAACAACTGAACACTGCAAAATGCTCTTGAACAAGCAAGGAGCTTATGATTTCTAAGCAGCACCACCCTCTCTCAGGTGTTGCTGTGTTTAACACTTTCATGGGGCAGCAGATGGGCAAGGTCAGCTTGCAGCTCAAAATGTCATTTGGGATCATCATTATGATCGAGACAGATGGAGGAACCTCCCTTAGAGGAAGTACACCCCTCTGACATTCCTTCACATCAAAATTTAGCACTTTTCAGGTTTGGGTTTTCTAGGTTGGGCATGGGGTTTTTTTTTTAAGACTTCAGACTGGGAGGAAATACCCACAAACCATTTTCTGTTCATTTCTGTACAAGTCAGCTTTTGGGGAGGAAAAGCATAGAGCAAATCCCAACTAACACCTCTCCAGCGTTGCTATGACACTTGCAAATGCCAGCATTTCACAGGCCCTCAGTTAACAAAACAAACCTGTGCTTAAGTGAACTTGACTCAGCTCAAAGTCAAAGTATGGCTTTGGACCATGCTCTCTAAAAGAAATAGAAGCTCTACTTAGCTAATATGAAATACAACACCAATACAGGTATGTGAAATAACATGCTTTCTGAAATTTTTATAGTCATGTAAAAGACCTTCCTACTCAAGTGACAATGTCCCACCATATGGCACTTCTCTTCCAGTAACATAAGTAAACTCAAATAAAACTCTTATAAGGAGCAAAGCTGAATGTTGGTATTCTGCAGCATTAAAACTTCTGCCAGAAGTAAAACTGCTCTTCTGATCACAGAGATTTACTGTTTCTACCAGTAAAAAAGTAAAGTGTTCACCCAGACACATATTGCTAACTACCTTTCTTTATCTATAGGATTTATTAAAATTACATGAGGAATAGGAAACCACAGAAAAACAAGCACATATGGATGGGAAAGGAGACAGAAGAGAAAAAAATGCCACAGACCTTGTCAGATGCCTGCCTGATCTTTTCTGAAGAAACATTTTCTTTCAGTACTGCAGCAATCAGATGACCCACTGTCTAAAGGAAAAAAAAAAAAAAAAACAAACCACCACATGCAGATCAAGCATTATTCTTCAGTTCTTCATCAGGAAAAATTTACACTGTTGTTGCATATGCTCATTTTATGCTAATTAGAAATACCAAACTTACTGATATGAAAGCTGAAATACGTTTTAGGGCCAAAGATCTCCATAATGCTGGCACACTACTTTTCACCATTGCCCTGAGGCAGAAGAGAAGCAAACTCTCATAGTATTCCACACGGGTCCTAGAGTCTCTTTGTACAGAACCTCTCGTAAGATGAGAATCAGGTGCACAGAATCAATTGCTGACATTTTAATGCAATACCCATTTACAGCCCAGAATTGCTGGGGTGTGAACCCCAAGCCCCCAAATTAGGGTTGACACATGGGTGATTCCCACAGCCCTTCATAAAGAGTATCATTTTTGTTGGGCCTGGTCACTGGCAGAAAAAAGTTGGCGACGCGGATGTCCCCGTCTGAAGTTCCCGGTTGGGAAG